TTACATAAACACTATGTTTCAAAAATAAACTTTGCAACTAAATGGTTAAATATGTAGAAATTTTAGTATCACAAACTGTTAACTTTATATATTTAACAATGAGGTCATGAAGCTCAGTGGAAACTAAAGCAAATCAGATACATTCATAGGCATCTCATCTATTTGAGTACTATAGTACTGTTCAATATCACGTAAAATACGGACATCCTCTGATGTAACAAAGTTTATGGCAACACCTAAATAAAAATATAAAAATTTATTCAATAAAACGTGTAACATATATATAATATATATTATTAAAGAAAGGTACGTACCTTTTCTTCCAAAACGCCCAGATCGACCTATGCGGTGAATGTAAAGTTCACGATTACTGGGTAGGTCGTAATTTATTCTGTAAACAATTTATTGTAAATATAAAAAATTTAGTAAATAGACATCATTAACATCGTTCGTTTTTTGCACATAACTTACACTAAGGACACTTGCTGAACGTCAATTCCACGAGCCCATACGTCGGTAGTAATTAAAACACGACTAAATAAATAATACAAATCAGCTATATATTTTTGAGAAATGAAAATTATCTATATAGTATCAAAGCCCACCTGGATCCCTGACGAAATTCTTGCATGATCGCATCTCGTTCCTTTTGTGGCATATCTCCATGCATTGAAGATACTGTAAAATTTGCTTCTCGCATTTTTTCAGTTAACCAATCGACCTTTGTTCAAAAAAAAAAAGAGTTAATGACAAGGTTTAATAGAAATTTCTAAAAATTAATTATTACCTTTCGGCGAGTATTACAGAAAATGACAGCTTGAGTAATTGTCAACGTATCATACAAATCACAAAGAGTTTCAAATTTCCAATCTTCTTTTTCAACTGCAACAAAGAATTGTTTAATTCCTTCCAAGGTCAATTCATCACGCTTGACCAATATGCGAATTGGTTCAGTCATGAATTTAGTGGTCATCTCGAGTACATCATGCGGTAAAGTGGCACTTAAAAGGATGACTTGTGTATTTGGTGGAAGATATCGATAGACATCGTATATCTGATCTTTAAAACCCTTGTTGAGTAACTCATCCGCTTCATCTAATACAAGCATTTTTATGTGTCGCGTTCGCAGATTACGACGACGAATCATATCGAAAACTCGACCAGGTGTACCGGATACAACATGCTGACCATAATCAAGCTTACGGATGTCTTCGCCAATACTGGTTCCGCCAATGCAGGCATGACATTGGACGTTCATATAGTCACCAAGCGCTAGAATGACACTTTGTATTTGAGTTGCGAGTTCCCTTGTCGGCGATAACACAAGTGCTTGAGTCTCTCGCACTGTAGTATCTATACATTGGAGGATAGAAATAGAGAATGTGGCCGTTTTACCGGTTCCCGACTGAGCCTGAGCGATCACATCCCTGCCTTTCATAATAGGAACAATTGCTCTTTGCTGAATAGCCGAAGGTTTTTCAAAATCTTAAAAGGTTTACAATAATTTATAGTTTTATTGATCTATTTCAAAGTAGACGCGCCATAATTTGAATTTAAATAATAAATAGAAATTTATTTGCGATTTCAAAAATACTTACTATAAGCATAAATTCCCCTTAAAAGATCTTCTTTCAAGCCGATAGAGTCAAATGTAGGTACACTAAATAAGAAATAAATAAAATATTAAGAAATTAGCGAAATCAAACTACTCGGACTGGATTTCCGTGACACTTACACTTTAACATCCTCGCTAGTTTCGAACACCAGCTTTTCGTCAGCTTTTCGATCAAACTGTCAAAAATATTTTTTTAGTATTATATTAACGAGAATTGCTCTAAAAACGTAAAAACATTCATACCTTTGCCATGTTTATGTCGAAATTAAAATCGTATATACGTAAAGTAACTGATATTAATTATATATCTGAATACGTATATAAAATTTATTGTTATTGTAACTTCTCGTGAAGACCCGTGACAAGCAGGGGCTTTAATTCTGATGGGCCAATCACCAAATGATCGTCATATATACACTTTAAACGAATTGGCAGCCATGAAAACGAATTGTCAAACGAAGCTGATTACATATTCAAACTACACCTTTTACTTAACATATGGTAAAAATAATCCGGAGAATGGAGAAATAATCCAGAAATTAGTGAGGGGGTGCACTTTTTGCTTTATTGTACTGTTCCTTGAATAAAAAGTGTTATTACAGATTTTTTTTTTTTTTTTTAACTTAAATATAGTGATTCAAACATAATGTTTACAGTTAATTTTAAAATTTTTTTTTAATTTAGTTTATTTGACCAAGTTTTTAAAAGCTGCAACGTATTATATAGGATACTTATATTGTAGAATATAACCAATTATAGTTCGGGATTTTACCAAATATAGGGGAACATTAAAGCCAGGTTCGTTTAGAGTTAGTTTTTTTG